GATAGCTGCAAAAGAGAAAAGAGGGGGAGGATTGGGGTGGGCTTCCCTCCTTCTCTCTCTCTCTTGCTGATGCCATGCAAATTTAGGAGAGGAGGGAATAAAAAGGGGGGGTTAAAAGAAACAACAACAACCTCTTTTAATGACTCATTGATTGAGCCGGTTTAAAATTAGTTGTCGTTTTGTTGGGTGGTTTTTGTGTGTGTGTTGGTGTGTTGGCTGCCCCCTTGGTGGCCATAGAGAGAGAGAGAGGAGTGTGTGTCTGTGTGAGAGGTGTGTGTGGTTGTGAGGAAGAGGGGGAATCGAGTGTGTGTGTGTATGTGTGTGTGTGTGAGAGAGAGAGAGAGAGAAAGAAAAATAATCTTTTCAAATCTCCTCCCTCTTTTTCTTCCCCCTCTCGTTTCTTTGCTTTTCTCTAAAGCTCCCTGGTCTGTGAAGAAGCCCATTTTCTTTCCCCTTCCTTCCTCCTTCCTCTTCGGGAAAATGGAGACGCTTCTTCGTCTTCTCTCTCCTCAGCCTCTGGCTGCCAAGGATTTTGCTTTTCTTTTGCCTTCTCGGTTGGATTTGGTTTCACTTACCACCGTCTCTTCTCGTCTCGTCCTAATTTTCACTCTCTTTCTAGCCTGGGCTGTGCTTTTTTGACGGCGAATTTTATTTTAATTTTAACCCCCATTAATGTTTTTATCTTTTTATATTTCGGGTTTCTTTTTGGGTCTCCGGTTTCCTCCGATTTTTTTTTTGTCTCTTTGTTACAAGGCACTGAAAATGGTGTTTCGTTTCGTTTGGTGTAATTCTAGGATGGGAAAAAAAAATTGGAAATAATTTGGCTGTCACTTATGTTTGTTTGTTTTTAAACTGGAAAAATAATAAATATTCTACGCCTGTAATAACGCTTTCGGTTTGGCTTTTTGATATGTATCCACCATTGGGTTAAGTTTTCGAGAGAAAAAAAGTATTTTATTATATTTTTTTGGTAATTGATTTTCAGTTATGGTTACACCAGGCCGGTAAAAAAAAAGGGGGGGATGTGGGAGAGGAAAGAGGATTATATAAAGAATGGATTGAAAAATCTGAAAGGTTGGATCGTTTTTGAGGTGGGTCGTTGGATTTCTCCCCTTTTTTCCTTTTTTAAATCAAGACGGGGATTTGTTAAGGGATGGGGACTCCACTTACTTAACGTCGATAAGGATAAGTTTTTAAAAATAGAAACGCGAAGCAAATATATGAGGGAAATGTCGCCTCTTTTTACTGGGCTACACAGACTAGGAGGCCTTTCGCTTTTTCTGAGGCGGTGTTGTTGCCTTTTTTTAAAAAAACATTCTGAATTTTGAATAATTTGAGGCATGGTTGTGTCTTTACAAAGTTAGGTCAAAAAGGCGGATTTTTTTTTTTTGGTGTGTGTGGCTCTTATTTCCTCCTTTAAAGAAAAAGCCTTGGTTTGGTTTGGTTCTGAGGGACTTTGAAGAGATAAAATGGCGCTGCCTGGCTGCTGGCCAGGATTTGTGGCGCAGTTTCTCTCCCTTCACTCTAATGCTTTACAGCCGCCATTTTGAGAGAAAATGAACTTTTCTCTCCTTTGGCTGGGGCGTCGCCCTCTTCTCCTTATTATTCGTTTCGTTCTCTCAAAACTGCCTCAAAAATACCCCCCTAAGCCCAATAACGATTTTCCTCAAAAACTGGTGGTCGTTATTTTCTAAGGAACCAAGTTTTTTCAGCCCCTCACCAAGAATAGGTTTTTAAATGGGCGAATTTCATTTGAGAGATAACCTCGCGTTTTAATGGTTGGTCTTACTTTGCTTCTTCCTAAGTACACATTTTTTTTTAAAAAAAATTGAATATAATGGAGAGACTTGCTTTAAATGCTGTTTCTCTGATTTTAATTTTCCTTTTGAAATAGTAGGAATAAATAAATATGACCATGGTGTGAGTTTTTAATATTACGAATTGGCTGGACTCATTTGCTCCATCAACTTATCTATCAAGTTGGTGTCACTCTCTTAATGTGAAATCTCAGAGTTCAATCTGTATATCAATGTTGAAGCCTCTAAAAGTTGAAATGCCATAGAGTTCAATCTATAGTGGTCAGTCCTCAAGGTGATTTTAGAAATATGTGAATGGTGAGGTTAAAAAAGTTGAGGAGTAGTGTACATCTTTGCATTGTACCAGTGAGGTATTATTGCTTAGAAAACAACCTTAAGAAGTAAAATGTCCTATATATTCCTCTGGCTTCACTTTAAAAAGAGGTTAAGTATGTTTCCTGAAGCACAACCATAATTTTTTTCATTTCAAGATGTCTCCCAGGTTGAGAAATGGTGGCATTTGTTAAGAATGCCTGGGATTTTGAACACCCACAACAGGATCGGTTTTAAACAAGAAATGGATAAAATCTGAAAACATGCTTAATAACACAATACTTAGTGTCACAATGTCTCAAGCTTATATCATGTACATTTTTTGTGGGGCAGTTAATGCTAATTGGACCTCTTGTAACAACCATTCCATCTGGGCAACTGGGAAGGAGCTTTCTTGGCACAACAAAACAGTACTTTTTTGGGGATACAGTATTCGAGGGTCAAGGGTGCAAGGTTCTTTTAGTTAAAGAATGCTATTCTCAATTTTCCTTCAAGGAATTGTTTGCTGCATTGTGCATATAGGCAGTGTGAGTGTGTGATTGTATGAATATGTGTGCCTTCAAGTCACTTGTTGAGTTACTGTGATCCCATGCATTTAATAGGGTTTTCTTAGGCAAGAAGTACTCAAGTGATGGTTTTGGCAGTTACTTTTTCCGAAACACAACCTGCAGCATCTAGTATTTTTTTTTTTTGGCAGTGTCCCATCCAAGTATTAACCAGGGCTGACCCTACTAAGCTTCCACTGTCAGAGGGGATCTGGTACCTTTAGGGTATTTATTATGCATATAGGCAGTACTAAACTTAAAATAATGCACTGTGCAGTGGATCAAATAAAATGGCTGACTTCATTAATTTGCTATGAGAAGCAAATTAACCTCCAAATGGCTTTAGTGGAGGCTGGTTCAGTGTAGTTTTCTGACTGGCATCTTGAGTAGGCAAAATTTGTGACTTCATGTGAGGAAACATTTTGGTAGGTAAATTTTGTTCAGACAGGCCTAGTTTCACACAATCACCACATTTCCCCCCAAAGACTGAAACAACGTAGTTAGAAATGTGCTTATTCGTGGATCTTACTCCATAAAAATTAAAATTATTTTCAAGGGTGGATTTTCTACTTTAGATTATAGAGCTGCAGAGAGGCCATTTAATTTAACCCCCTGCTAGTAAAGGAACCCACCTGGCCATCCAACCCCTATTTAAACAACTCCAGTGAAGGTGAGTCCACTACCAGCCAAAGCAGTCTGTTCCACTGTCAAAATAGCTCTTACTGTCTGAAAATTCCTCCTTCTAGTTAGAATATCCACAAGTACCTGCTTCTCACACTATTAAGGGTTGAGGTTAGTCCTATGCAGGTTCCTCTTGACACTAGAGACATCTAGAAATACAAAATCAGACCATGCATTTGATCAGTTAATAGTCATCCTTCCACTGGTGGCACATAAGAACAGATTTGGAAAAATGGGATTACTATGTTTTATAGCAGTCTATGTGGGATGTAATAGGGCATTATGAAAGATTTATTGGCAAAAATATTCTAGCACCTCTTTGCCAGTTTAATAGCAAAGATACCTAGTAACAAAGATGTCTTTGTACTTAATTTTGCTTTCTAAAATG